CGGCCCCCTCATGCTGCCATGGACCAGCCATAGGCTGCCCAAGATACCTCCAACCCAGCTCTTCTTTCTGAGCAGCAAAGCTAAACCACCAGGAGGAAAGCTTGGGAAACGATGTGGCTTGACAGCCTGCAGAATTCAAGCCAGGGTCTGTGCTCAGGGCTGCACTGTGCCACGCACCTCTATCTTCAGATATCACACACGGCAGGAAAATAATGCAGTGGCACCCCAGTAGACCTGCAATCTGAGCATGGATTTAGCACTCTTAGGTCCAGCTCAGCGCCGCCATCTCAAACCACCTTCTTCTCCAAAGCCAAGAGGCGACAAGAATAACTCAGTCAGCTTCCTGAGATCTGCCCCCTCCACCCACAAAAAAAAAATAGAGCTGCTTCTCCTGCCCACTCCTCTTTAATCAGAATAATTACTTGTTTTTCTTTAAACTCAGATTTGGCTACATTTAGTGAAATTTCCAAACTGCCGGATGTTGTGTGATTTTTGCTAGGCTGCCGTTTTTCACAAAGTATGTGACTTTGCCATGAAACGTCTCAGTTTACCATACAAATTTTGCACAGAACAAAAATAAGATCTTTTACTTCTGTCTCCCTTGGGTAATATGCAGTCTTTAGTTTTAATTACCGAAGGTGTAATTCTCTGCCTACAGAGGCCATCCAGATTCAAGGGAGTTTTAGCATCTGGTATTCCTGTGACTCAGTGGATCTGCACATGAGGATGCCCAGCCAGGGCCTGGGCTGCTGTTGCTGAGATGTACTTAAATGTAGCAACAAATGGGGGGAGGAATGGTGGGGGGGAAGTCTGGCCAAATTTAGAAGAGTGTTTTCCTCTCAAAGTGCTCCGCAAGGAGAAATGGCTAGTGAGAATTTATTAGGACAACAGATGCATTAATTTTATCTTGAATTTCGAGGCAAGAATTGGAAATGAGGATATCCTACTAGGTGATAAAACTGTCTGTCACAAGACCCCCGATTACATGTCACTTGCAGAGCGCCTGGAAAACACGCGATGAAAGAAGTCAGTGGAAGGGGGTGGGAGACTAATGCTTTCTAGAGCTCAGCGGCTTGGACCATCACACTTTGTTGTATTTGTTCCGACAGGGAAAACGTGGGAGGTGGTGCAAGCATGCTGTAACAAGAGAGAGTTTCTCTATTTATCACTGCAAAGACTAAACACAGCAAATCACATTACTACTGCAAGGAAGGGAGACAGTATCTAAGCCCAGTGCCAAAGGCTGCTCCTCAGCCTCCTCTTGCAGCTGGTGCTGCCCAGTGGCTCCCAGCAAACAAGCTGGGCAAAGCAAGAGATGTCCCTTGCCTGAAAAGGAGCAATCCTGCTCCTCTGCAGCATGCCCAGCCTCCTTGTTGGGAGCGAGGGCTTAGCACCTTCCTGGAGACATGCATACACCACTCACAGTAACTATTTGGATGCTGAAGCACATCCCCTTCCCAGGGAACTGAAGCTACAGGGATGGGTTCAAAGGCTTTGGGGCTGTTGGAGCACAACAGACCATTCTGCTGCTGCTGGGGCAGTTAACTGTCAATGTCTGAATAGCAGCAGAACCCCATGCACCTACGTGCCACCTTACCATGACTGGGCACCCAGAGCCCAAGTGCGCCAGGGGCTTTGCTCAGCAATTGAAGGGAGCAGCACTCAGCAGTGTAAACAGTAGGATGTGGTGGGAGCAGCGCAGCATCAACCAAAGAACAGCTTGGATTCACAGAGAAGGAAGGGCTGCACATTACACTGTCTACTCGGGCTGATGCTGGTACTTCTGAAGCCTGGAAAGCTGCCACCTCCACATCCTCTACTGCTGCTGGCATGCAAGCATCTCTTCACTCTCTGCAGCACTGGAATGAGGGAAGGTTCCACCCCAAGGCATCACCTGAATGCCCCCAAGCAGGGATGAGCACAGCCCTGGGGCTGTAACTACACAAAAGTTATCCTGGGAGAAGAGCTGCACTGTGAGGCAGTGAGTGGGACACCAATCCTTCCCCTTCTTCTCCAAAGTGCCTCCAGCACAACTCTAAAGTCAGGATAAGTTTGAACCCTGTGGCGGATTAGATAAGCTGCATGCACGTAGCTGCCCATGAGCAGAATTTCTTGCCTCTGTTGGTAAGCCTTCCTACATCCATTCCCACTTCCAAAGGGATCCTACAAAACTGCCTCAGACTCAGCAAAAAAGGCCCAAGAGTAGCAAACAACAGACAACTGCAAGTAGCTAACACAACTGAATGAGACTTGGAAAGCCTTCTGCCATGCTTGCGAAGAAACACTCGTGTGAACTTCCTGGCATGCATTTTCAGAAGACCTTTGGAAATCAGCTGCTATGTGCTTGTCCTAAGAAGCTGTCACAACACTTTTCTGGAATACAGCTCAGGTTGCTTAACTTTTGCTGGATACTGAGGCCAGTTTTGCACAGATTGTTCTTGTCCTGAAACTTCCTAGGAAATAAGCTATGTGACAAGCTGAGGGTTTATTCTGCAATGTTATGTGCGGCATGAGAGGCATCTTGTGCTGCATAACCTCATGGCATTTCTCCTACCTTGCTCTCTTTTAGAAACACAAAGGCACTCCCTAGATCTCCCTTATTTTGTTTTTCACTACTTAAGATAGCCACTGTTACGGCCAGAAGACTGAGAGGAACATACTCATCATGCAAAACGGCAACGAAGCAACTTCTTTACTTAGGGAAATCACATGTGCAGTGCAATGATTTCTTTTCATCTTCATACACATCCTCAACAGCATAAATGCCACCAGCCCAAATGATGACTAGAGATGGCTTTACTCTGTGCTACAATATAATGGCCTATGCATCTTGGGTGTTTATGTACAGTACACCTGCCTACAGGTTGTTTGTCTGTTCATGCGGGGGTTACAGTGTTCAAACACTGCAGAATGGCAGAATTATGATGTAGCTGATCTAGTCCTGGGAGAGCAGGAGAATGCAACTCAGGAGTTAAAAGAAGAAGAAAGGAAACTATAGTCTGTACTTACAGTAAATGACAGGAAAGAAGAAAACAGAGTTCCTTCATCGTATCTAGACAGTTTGGCCAAGACTCCTTCCAAAATGGTGACAAACTACGAAGGCAAAAAATACTGCAATTATTTTTAATCATCGAACAAGGGTGTAAAAATCAGCATCAGCTCCAAAGACACCAGCAGAGCTCTGAGCATTGCCAAAGGAATGGACAACCTTTCCCCAGGCACCATGGGCTGGGGCTTGGGGAGAAAGGAGCATTGCCTTTTGGGTGCTACATGGTCCACCTCTTGCCGGGTGAGCATTGCCCCTCGGTGTCATGGGTGATGCTGGGGACAGGAGGTGGGAAGCCAGCACAGCCTCTCCAGATGGGGAAGCTGGTGGTTCTTGCTCCCAGTACGCAGTGTCAAGCACACAGCTAGCTGGGTATTCTTGCAGAAGAACTGAACTGGCATATGTTGGTGGATTATGTTTAAAGGTCTCCACTGTATAATAGGGATGACTTGTTCTTAGAAAGTTTGCAAGTAGAGGAAAACACACCCCACCATCTTCCTCCCTATGTACCAATTCCTCTCTGTGCTAGCACAGCACACCAGACCTACACAACCACCTAAGGGAAATGCTGGCAGCTGAGCTAGAGGAGCCGACTCTGATGAAAAACAATTTCCAAACAATTAAACCTGACATTTTGGAATGTATTTCCCACTACTGTCACCTTTAAATTAATTTCTTAGAAGAACATATGGTGATCTTGCACAAGATGAGTTATTCGGTCCGCACAACCTTATGCGTAGGAGCGGTGACCACCTCGCTGTGCCACCCCATCATCTCTGCAGCAGCATTAAGCAGTGCCACCCCCTGACTGCAGCTACCCCCCCAGAACCATGGGGCAATGCTGACCACGGGGTGTTACGCCCCCATTAACTTAACACCCATCCCCTAAACCCACTTCTGGCCCAGTATGGCAAATCCTGCTAGCAGCATATTACATCTCACGCAGTTCCTAATCATCAAAGAGTCACCATGAAAGGACTGGGAGATGTATGATCCCGCCTGTGAGAAACAAGAAGCCAATTCAACATCTTAATGTGTCACATTTTAATGGAAACACACATATTAAAAATGCAATGTTAACAGTGAATCACTTCACCTGAAGCTGAAGGTTACCTTTGCCACTAGGAGTGTTATCATTTCTTTGACGGTTTCCTCAATTAGTTCATCTATTTTTGAATGGTACTGGTGCTAAAGAAAAATAAAAGGGGGGGGGGAAATATTAGCATTGATCACAAGCAAGAGCTCTACAGTTGTCAGACTCTTCCCTTGGTAAACCACAATATGCAGTATCAAACTGAAGAATTGTGCAGCTTATTACCCTGGGCTGCACTATGGTGGCCAGTGATTACTTACAGTTGTTGGAGAGACCTTGAACTCAGGAGAATCTAACATCAGATTGTGAAGCATGGGCAAACCCTGCCCTCTTCTGTGTGGCCACAGCTCCGGGAGCCACACGCAGATGTTGAAGTGGAGGCTTTGCCATTCCTGTGAGCACCAGACCCTGAAATCCTTTTGCTTCAGTTCTGCAGGCATTACCCTGTTCATTTGGCACACGGATTGCACCCGGCAAAGAGATATACCTGCTGCTGGAGGGGAACAGGCAGCCCTTGCCTAGGGTACCACAAATCACACAGCCGTTGGAAGGGGAGTGGGGAGGACATGAAGACAGGCTGAGAGAGCTGGGCTTTTTCAGCTTGGAGAAGAGAAGATCTAGGGAGACCTTAGAGCAGCTCCCAGTGCCTAAAGAGGCCAACAAGAAACCTGGAGAGGGGCTTTGGACACAAGTGGGTAGTGATAGGACAAGGGGGAATGGCTTTAAACTGGAAGAACAAAGATTCACATTAGATATTAGGAAGAAATGCCGCACTACGAGGGTGCTGAGGCGCTGGCACAGGGTGCCCAGAGAAACTGTGGCTGCCCCATCCCTGGCAGTGTTCAAGGCCAGGTTGGACACAGGGGCTTGGAGCAACCTGCTCTAGTGGAAGGTGTCCCTGCCCGTGGCAGGGGTTGGAACTGGATGAGCTTTAAGGTCCCTTCCAACACAAACCAGGGGATCTTGCAGTGGGTTAACCCCCCAGGAATGGTGTTACACCCTTCCCATCTACTGTAGCAGAGCAGTTGAACCTATGTTACACACTGGATTCAGCAGGCACATAGCTCAGTTAAAGCACTCATTTAAACACTTTCTCAGTGACTAGAAGATAGATTTAAACAACACCCAACAAACCAAGATAAGCCTTTTTGTCCCATGCAAAAGCCATCAGGCAGCTCACCGCCGAGCCCTGGGTGTCAGCAGATCCCATTGCACCAGCTCAAGACTGGCTGACCCACACCAGTGCCTGTAGCATCAGCGTTTCTGCGCCTTCAACCCAATTCCTGCACATGCCAAACCTTGCTTAGCTTCGGAGCTCTGATGCAATCAGCTGCAATATGGCTAGAATAGGTACTAAAATACAGTCTCCTACTAATTTAGAAAAGACCTGTTTCCAATACAAGATTTAATTAGTGAAAACATACAGTATATTCTTATTTTCAATGGACTGAGAAAATACTGATTATGACTGCTTTCCAACACAAAACATTTGATTTTTCAGTCAAACATTTCAAGCACTGGTGCTAGTCACTATATTCATTACCACTTGGCATTAATATTGTTTTAAAATGTTAACATCAAATCACATTGAAAGAGACAAATCTGCTTTAAATACTAATCAGACTTTGGGAAGGAAGACTGCGAGGGCTTTACAAATGCTAGATGTTGGTGTCAGTGTCTGATTGTAGTCTCTGAACTGCTCTATACTTTGGGGATTTTTCCTCTGACATTAACACTAGTAAAAGAATTTGGACAAAAGAAAATAAAAGTAGGGGACACTTACCCACTCTTTAGCAAACTTTTCAGGTGATTTGGAACAGAAATAAAGAGAAAAGGGCAAAAGACAGGAAAAAGAACATATGAAGATAAAGTATAAATAAACCAAAATCTTTTAAATAAAGAGAGGTATGAGAGCAACAGCATCATGCACAGAAACAATAAGCAATGGAAAACAAAACATGATCAAAACCTCCTTTCACTGAAGCACCAGACATTGCTACCTGTAGTATCTGCAGGCAGTAAAACCTGCAGAGACTCTACTGTAGCTAACTGCTGACAGTCTCTTGTGTTTTTATTTCGCTCCAGAGAGGAAGGCTGTCGACAGGCAGGGTTCAGGATCAGGGCAACTGCACATCCTTTACCAGGATGGATGCACCTGAGGGGTGAGCCCTGCTGCAGGGGTTACATGGTGAGGCACATCCCAGGCAAAGTCCTGGCACTTCCCAGGCAAAGTCCTGGCTGGGCACACTCAGAGCATCACTTATGAGGGAGGACAGGCTGGCACTGCCACACCACAGGCTGTGATCCACTGAGCCCACCCCGAGATAAAAACATACATGAGCAAGCAAGTGATATTTGCATTTGCAGCTCCCATTTCCATGTCCTGCTTTGCAGGTCAAGAGATATATGAGTCCCTTATGGGATCATAGTTATGATCTGTTAATTAACAGATTAACTAACACAGAGTTAGCTCTTATCAGCTCCTGGGATTGACTTGGCCGTTCCCAGCACAGCTGGAGGCGTAGCTGTGGGGTGACAGGGACCAGTAACAGTTGGGTACGCACAGGAGCTGCTGACGTCCTTGGCGTACACAGCCAGAACCTCCTATGGGAGCTGAAGAAGGGTTTGTGCATATGTTGGGGGTGTCTTCCCCATGACATTTTCCTTCTGCAACTAGGTTTTCTGTGTGTGCGTAAGGATCTAGCTAACCACTTTCATTGGGTAAGTCATGACTTTTAACTCAAAAATGGCCAGCTGCATGCAAAATAATACACTGTCATATGCACCCACATGCATTTTCAATTTAAAGCTTGTTTAAAAAGCAATTAAGAGCCCTGGTGGACTAAAACCGCAGCTCTGAGAGTAGGAGAGGACCCTGTGCATGCACCAAGGTGGTGTTGCAGGGCTCTGATCGCTCATTCCCATTGCAGCTGCAATCCCTGTGGTCCACACAGACCTAGTGGGGGGCCAGGACCATGCAGAATAGGGCCCATGAGGCTGTGGGTCCTGCTCTGGGCCAGCCACAGCAATGTGCATCGTGTGCTGCCCGTGCTGCAGCTCCAGCTCCACCTCGGGAAGATGAGACTGAGCCAGGATGGGGTTGGAGAAGGCGGCAGTTTGGGAAACGACTGCCTGGTGCTGCTTTCACAGGCGCCTGGCTCGTAAACCAGCATTTCTAACAGCTCCTTCTACATTTCTTATGGAAACGCTCAAGGTTAAAGATCACATATCTGGTTTGCTTTACCCAGCGCAGCCCCCACTTTCGATCGAGTTCATCGCAGCTTTCTATTAGCTCAATTATTACAGTCCGTAATCAGCGCACTACAATGATTCAAGTTGACTTTATGTGATGAGTATCTTGCCTTGTCATGTAACAGATTGTGTGTACGTTGTATTTCTCTAAGGACCATCTGACCTTAGATATTAAATAGAAACATACTAGACCAACTGAGAAACATTTAATACATACATTTATCCCCTTAGATGTATTAAAAATTCAGAGGAAAAATAAATATTTAAGATGGTAAAGTATGTTTACCAAATGTTTTAACAGCTGCCTTTAGAGACAAGGAAATGGAAATGAAATGATGGGTGTTTGTTTCACAGGGTAATGCTCGCAAAATGCATTCAAGTATCTGTTAAAGTGAGTGCAACTGAAGGTAGTCTGAAAGGGAAGGACTTTGGGATGGGAGGGAAACTGCAGGAGCGAGGTCAAATAATGTGTGGAGAGAATCTCTGCCCATGTACAGCGTGGACTGTCAGGAAAATCAGGGGTTTGTTTCTAACAAAACTCTCTTCTCCAGTGAGTCTGGGCAGACTCCCCTGCCTGAACACCATGGTGGGCAGTGAGCCCTTTCTGCTGCTTTTGAGCTGTCTGCAAAGGGACCACATATCTGAGAGCCACGTGCCAGCAGTGGCACTGACAGAGGGTCCCATCAGCGGGTTGTGTCTGTCCCTTTTCCCCTGTTCATCCCTCCCCAGTGGCTGCCATACAGCAGGGATGGGGGGACAGAGGGACTTAATGATGCACAGACACAGCTCCCCAAATTACAGAGAAACACACAATCTCCAAACCTGGTTTTTCATCCCTCTCCTATCTGACTGTCTCATCAGAAGTGGAAGAGGCAAGGTAGCATTTTGTTTTCCTCTCCCAACAACAGATTTCTATCTTAACTCTTAACCCCCCCAACATGACCATCTCAGTGCACAGGCTTAGACAGCTTCAAGAAGAGACTGAGATAGCCAAAATATGGAGTGGCACAAAAGCGAATGGAGGGGGAGGTAGTAACACTCATTAAAAGAAAGAAAAGAAAAAGGGAGGGTGTATAAAATACTGCAGCCCTAAATGGTAACTTATGCACTGATAATTTACATCTGCTTTACAGGTCTATTAGTTCAGCTATCTGTTAAAAACCCCAGCAACTGCTGCTTGCAGCAGGAGTTAGGCTGTCTCTGAGCTGCCATACCAAACACCTTCTTGAAGCAGCACAGGCAGATTTACAGAGCTAATCCCTGCTGCAGCTGAGAACAGCAGAGAAACAACCCCACTGCTGCCTGCTCCCCTCTCACTTGCAGTTTGACTCAGAACAAACATGCATTGTGACTGATAGGCTCAAAATTTGGAGGAAACAGGCAAGCACAGAGCATCACAAGTTAGAAGATGCAGCAAGTGCCTGATCACACTATATCCTGACACAGCTGATGTTTTGTGCCACCTGAATACTTAACCTGACACTTTTATGAATGCAATGAGCTTGCTCTGTCATGATTACAGAGTCTGCTTGATCTCCCTGTTCCCAGGGACTGTGCTAGTACAATGCACATGGGTTTGATCCTGGTTTGCAGTGGGGAGCATCACAACCATGGCCCTTCCTGGCTGCTAGGGCACTGCCAGGGCAGATGCTGCAGCAGCTGCAGGCTGAAGAATTTGGGGAGATAAATGAGTCTGAATATGGAACAGAAAATGGTAGAGAAGTTCACGTCCAGGCTTGGACAACAAAAGCCCGTTCAAGATCTGCCTCAGCTGACTTGGAGGGCAAGGGAAGAACCTGATGATGGGCAGTCTGAAACCTCTCCTGCAAGGTGACTGCCACAAATAAAACGCTGTAACTAAACCATGTATAAGAAAAATAAAAAGAACAGCTGAATGTGATCCAAACACCACTGACATCAGGGCAAGGATCCCTGCTGCACCCAGCGGCCTTTGGAGCTAGTCCTCTCAGAGCAATAGGGAGAGGTAAACAACAAAAAAATGTAAAACCCAACAACTTGCAATGATTCACTGCAAAATCTGACCAAGGGAAGTTTAGTGAAAGGGCTTATCTAGGAAGTGCTGACAAGCAGCAGGATGGGAGAGCCAAATAGTATTTGTCAATTTATTCCAGACTGGTATATGAATATTTAATTTGGCTTGAAGCCACTGCAGCAAAATTACCATTACGATGCATTTAATCTGGCCCAATTTACCACGTCTTTCTAATTCATAGATCAATTCACAGAAACTTCAACCTTCAACTATGGGTTCAGAAGAAAAAAAATTATCCACAATTGATTCAAACAGGTTTGTTATTTGGAAACTTAAGTCATTTAGAACCTAGAAATCCAGGATCATCAAGTGTGCTGATTATAGGCTCCAGGAAGTCAGAGCAGTTGAAATTTCAGTCTACTTTTGGAAGTTATCTGTTTTGGTGTTGTGTTGGATTTGTTTTTTTCATTACAAGCATCACAGCAACAACTTGGCACTTCCGTTTTCCTTCTGTTTGTCTATAGAAAATAGTCATATACAGGAAGTGCTGATACCTGGCTTCAAGGTGTGGCTAATGACTTAATCTATATGGTCATCATACATCAAATAAGCTTAATAGATACCTTACAGATACCAGAATCCTTGCAAAAAGCCATTCCTAAGTGACAGGGATTCTGAATGCTTATATTCATTAGATTTATTTGAAAGCAACCCCTTGCATATTCGTCTGCACACTCTGTATGGAAGGCTAAATCCACAACTGATATAACGGCTCCGAAACCAGCACGACAGGAGATAGGAAATTTCATGGCATTGCCTTTAAAAGCTGTGAAAGGAAGAACCTGTATTTTTACCTCTTGGCCCATTTCCATACTGCAAAGCTTTGTTGACTGAGCTTTGGCATCCACCATGACATTAAACATGGTACATATTGATTGAGGGACTCGGAAATCTGTTGATCGGCTGGTTTTCTGCAGCTTTACTTCAAATGCAATCCTGGTTCTGTTAAGGAAAGTAGAAAAAGACATTTCAATTGCTTTTAAATATAGTGAAGCTAATAAGAATAATGTGAAACAATACTGTGAAGAGTTTGAGAAACCAGAAAGCTGAATGTTACTGGGAGTTACAGAGCAATTATTACAAACATGCTGGAACTTAAAATGATTTTCCAGTTTAAAAAGAAACCCTCTCTCCACAATACACCCTACTTATAAAGTGTGCAACGGTTTCAGAGTAACTATGACTTTCTTGTGCTTGATAAACAGTGTGATGATGTTACAAACACCAGTGTCAATGTACACATATAATTTGGTTGCATTGGCTGATTTATAACCACAGATAAAGAGCAAGCCTGACGCATTAAAGGAAGCTGCGGTTGCTCCATGGTATCAACTACAAGTAACAGAAACTCATTCATCACTTGACTGAAATCATAGCATTTTTAGGTCTACATGATTGTATTTGCTGGCTGAAAGTTCCTAATTGTCTCATAAGTTCAGGAAGTGATTTCCCTGATCATACTCACCAGCATATGGCTGCAAAATGTGCATGGGTGCAGTCGTGCAGGTATGAACACAGGCATCGCACCAGCCTGCACCTCGCTGCTCTCCTGAGGTTCCACTGAGCTCAGATTTGACATCCCTGGGAGTTACAACCCATGTTACACCAAGAGCTTTGTCAGGCCAAAGACTACAGAACTTGATCCCACGTCGTATTTTAAAATACCAAGGCATTTGTGACTCTAACATGGGGAATACTCTGCAGTACAGTGGGCATTGCCCTGTCTTTCTTCAGAGCCCCTCTGCAGCTGCCAGCGGTACTTCACTAACCTAACCTAAGCTAACACAGAACAATTATCACATCAGCCAGAATCTGCCAACAAATTAACATAGGAGCTTCAGTTTAGAAATAACAAATAATATCAGCTGCAGCTCAGGAATAACTCTGATCTTGAACGATCCCCCAAGGGTTATGCAAATGAAAACTCATTTACAAATGTAAAACTTCCATTCTTGGGATCAGCTCTGAGCTGGTATATAGGTCCTCCTGCCTGGATTTATTAGCAAAACAGACCTTCCTTGCAAGGGCTGCTTTCCTGACAGCACCAAAATACAACCAAGCGCGGAAGGCAGGGTGGCTCCTCCATGGTATTCAACGGTTCAGAGACAGACGCGCAGAAAAATGTTGTGTCAAACTGAAATTGCTAAAGAAACCTTAGCCAGGCCCTGTTTGCAGGTGATATAAATAGGGAAGGCAGCATATTGGTTTACATCAGCAGTGGCATTTGAACTGATTTAATTACCAGTGCCAGATTTAGCCTGGACTCGGGGACTAGAATCTTGATAATTACTGAAAGGACCCAAAGTGACTGGGATTTTCCATCTCCTCGCAGAGATGAGCATGTTCCTACTTACTTATGCTCAGAACCATTATATATAGTCATACCACTACAAGCTGGGCCAGGTTTTTACAGAGGGGCAACATATTTGTAGAAAGGTTGAAGCAGTTGGGAAAAAAACCAACCAGATTTCACGCACACAAGCCCTTCTTCAGATGTACCTGTAAACTTGCTTGTTTTTCCCAGTTATCTCAGCTGAGCTAGCCTGGTCCCATTTCTATAGATCATCACAGCTAGAAGGTGACTTGGTTCCCATTTAAAAAAGAAAGATAAAGTAAGTGTTTTGCTGGTGGTGCTGGGGACACAGCAGAGCTCCAGAACTAGGTTTGCTCCTAAATGATGGTCTGACAACCAAATGACAACTGAAGCACAGCTTTCGCGCCAGCCAAAGGACTAAAGACGAGCTGCTGCAATAAAGGGGGATTTGCTCCATGCCAAAGGCATCATGACCATCTTATTGCACTTAAAATGCACTGGGGTTTATTCCAGAAGGGGGTAAAAGCAATCCTTGAGATGTCTGGCTTCAGCAGGCAAGTCTCCTGCCTACATCCTGGGGACCAAACATGCCTTCTCCTACGGTGACATTGCACATCCAGACTGTGAGGAACATGTGAACAATAAATGTCACGCTCACACTTGCAGAATGGCCAGGCAATTGTGGTACAGAACAGCCACATCACACATTGCAGCTAATATTAGCATGTACCAGCTGTATTTGGCACCCATTTTAACTTTGGTTCGTCTCTTCGTCTATTAATTTCTGCACAATGGAATGCAAAGTTCTCTTCCAACTCAAACCATTCTGTGATTCTATGATTCTCTGATTGAATCCTGTGAGCGCCTATGAGAAACATGACTCTTTTGCTCATGGTCACGTACCTTTTCACGCAGGACTCGATCATGTCACTCGCCATAAGCTTCAAGCGTTGCTCTAAGTGTTTTCCAAACTCCTCCTCAGGCCAGTGCAAATCCCGAATGAAGGTCTGTAGGGCATCGAGTTTCCAGAACAGATCTTCCGAGGTGCCTGATCCATTGCTGGCAGGGCAAAATGAGAACAAAAGTCATAAGTGGCACCAGGCTTTTTGTAACCTGATGTGGAGACCATTCCTGCAACAAGTGTAGAGCAGACAGTAGTTTCATACACACGACAACGCTGGCAATCTCCACCATCAGGATTTTGAGTTTTACCATACAGTTGCCTAATCTACCTTGCTGTCATCACCCACAAAACTTTCCAGACCAGATGAGTAAGACAACATTATGGGTTACACATATTAACAGGAATCATGTGTGTATGGTAAAAATCAGCCTTAGTTAATAACCACATTAGCGTATGTGATTATTAAGAATTAAGGCCAGAATCTGGTAGAAAATCCTTGGTCGATAATAACTGACATACTAGACTGTATGCAGTTATTAAGATTTAGGGTTTCATGCAATTTTCCCCCCTCTCAATTATATCTTGAGTTTGCCTTGTCCCCTCCCATTGATAGCCCCATTTCCAGGTAAGGGACAGTGCTAACAAGTGGTGAGCGAGGACACGCTTTATCTCTTGAACAGCTGAAAAGAAATCAGGGTAAGTCAATTGAGCTCAGGGCACTACACATCTCATAGCCAGGAGTTTTGGCAGGATTGACTGCTGCACCTTTTCACAGATCTGCCTCTTGCAAAGGCATTTATAAGACAACAAATTTCTATTTTTTTTTTTTTAATTTATTTTGCAACATCTTTGGTCTGCCACAAAACTCTGAATTTCTCTCCCAAGCATATATTCTGGTACCCACACCCTTGCCCAGATGGAAGTCTTTGGTCCTGCAGTGTGTAGCTACACCGGCTCTTTTCACAGTATAATTATATCTCAAACCTCCACTTACAGAATAAGAATACAGAACTGGATTGTGCTCTGTTTGTACAGAGACATTTATGCACCCGTAACCGTTTTCTCTCCCTCTTTCCTTCTCCCTCACTTGTTTTTTTTTTTGTTTCCAGAACAATTACCAAAGGAGCTTCAAGAGTTTCAACCCCCTCCTCGCATACCACTAATGCTAACACAGTAATTTATAAGATATTTAACACACCATGCATTACCACTTGTGCTGACATCATCTATAGAAACAGATGAGGGAGGGTGTTTCTATTGTGACAGATGCCAGCTGCATTGAGTTAATGCTAGAGGAGACTGGAGCTAATGCATACAAGGCTACTCCAAGGTGAGAACCATAGTCCCAACATGCTAGAGGGGTCCTGAGGGGTCCTGTGCTAACAGAGTTAACGAGATAAAGAATGAATTGCCTCCATTGTAGGAGAAACGTAGCTGACACTAAGCAACAGGTAACATGTCCTTGATGGAGGGGAAGGGTGAGTAGAAGGAAACCAGGGAGATGAAAAGATAAAGAATCAGGCATTTCCTTTAACCAGGGGACCAGTTTGTGCAACAGTATCAAGTGTTCATCTACAGCCAGTTTTGAGTTGTGTCTGGTTCAAACCTGTGCACGGGTATAAATAAGCTTTTAACAGTCTAACCCCAGTTTTGGAACTGCATGAATTTATGTTTTAAATAATTAAATACATACAAATACAATAATTGGTATTTACAGCAACATTATGACATCCATTTGGTTTCAAAAATTTAGAAGTATTATTCTTGGTCTTTTTCTCACTTTTGATTAGGGCTCCATGCAAGTAAACAATACAGTATATTCATTTCCAAGAAGCACTGTTAATATTTGGCTTGTGAGCACCGCAATTACTCTAATCACGCAGGCAGCTTGCAATATACCATTGATGCTCAAGCCTTTTCAGAGGCATTATCCAATTTTCTGTCATGACATGATTCTTATCTTTTCAAGGGCAATACCACGAAGCATGCACAGAGAAAGATTAAAACTTTCAAGTACTCTTTACAGACAACTGCCTAAGCTAGCCTTTAATATAGCTATCTTAGCATGAATATGAGTTGTATAGCTTTGAAACATAAACGACCGTGCTATTATTTAAAAGGTTTTTAAAATCTATTTAAAAAGTCAAACATCAGTGTTTGATTTGCTTTGCTTTGGTTTGTTACCACAGCTCTGCAATACAGCCTCTGTGAGGCTAATGGTAGAGGCATTTTGGTGGACTCCAGTTGTAGATGTAATCGAGGGTGTTTCAGTAACAGTGAAAGGGGTAGTTTTGGGGGGTTTCTTCAGTTTTATCTTTGAAGTGAGAAGGTAGAGAAAAAGCAACACATTTGCATAGTGCTGGCTGAGACCACCCCATGTCAACCCTAAGTAACCCTCTAGGAATTGCCAGGAGATATAGTTCCTCTGCTAGGACATCTTGGGAGATAAGCTACTTCAAATGATGAGATTTGGTTTGAGCCCACTGTGTATCACCCTCCACACTGCTTTGGTAGCTTGGACTTTTAAGGGAAATATGTTATAAGAGGAGAACTTGCCTAATATGTACTCAGCATTTGTGGCATGTCCCCTCCGAGACCCATCTGTGCACCCTGGGACACTTGCACAGGGAGCTGGGAGTACAGAGCACAAGGCTACTATGGATCAACTGCTTTGACACTGTGCCTGATTTTTCAGGCCACAATCTAAAGATCACATTAAAAATATCTTTCTTTAGTTGGTCACGGCATTATTCAGGCTGTAATGATGGTTATGGAGCTGTAATTGCTCTCGGGGGCCTCCCCCAACATGAATGCAGGGTGTTCCTCTTTGTTAAAACATTTCATCAAGATCAAGACAAAGATTCTTATCATCTGGGAAATTGCATTAAATAACATTCACTTTTAGATCTACATCTGGTCCACAGAAATTGGTTGACTGGCATTGAAATTGGTTCCTCTTCTCTTTTGGACGAAACTCTTTGCTGAGACACATAATGTAATTGTAAGTAAGTTCTTTCATTGTATGTTCTGTGGTTTGTACGTTGTTCAGACCATGTCCCATTGTTGACAGCTATTTTGTAAAGCAAGATACTTGCTCAAACTCTTGGTGGGACTAAGGCAAAATTTCCAGCTTTATACAAAAAACCCCCCCAAAATACAGAAGCCAGAAATTCACGAGTGTCTCATTCAGAAAACGTCTAATTAACTGTATCACTCTTTAAAGTTTTATGTAATGCACAGAAACAAACAATACATATCCATGCCAAGATTACTTTAAATTTAAATGAGATCTAATTTGAACTGAATACACACTCAGAATCATAAATAGCAGCCATCCATGACGGTGCAGAAAAGCTAGGCATTTGTGGGATGCCTAGCGGGATGTTAACTGGTAGATTTGGTACTTTAGGGAGATTCACATTTGGTAGATTCACATTGGGCAGATTACTTGTTAAACTCCTGTGGAAGAAACAGACAGAAAGAAAAAAATACCATAACAGTGACAATGCAGATGTAGCAGAAGCACGTGACACTCATAAACAAATCTGCAAAGTTCACAGCATGACGACAGTTAAAAACTAAAGCAAAACATTTCAGAAGGAAGCATGAGTATGGAAGCTCAAGTGCACTGGGTGTGCAATAAAAAGCAAGTTACTTAAAAAGAAAAATCAAAATGAGAAGAAGAATCACAAAGAAGCAAATTAAGACAGTACTCTAACACCCATAGAAAGTAACTCCAGCTTCAGTCTTGACATGACTTCAAAGTGCAGAGAGCAGCCTTTCCTTAGAAAAATCTCTCTTGTAAGGGACCGATTCTCAGTTAGGCTGGATGAAAGAGCTAAATTAAGAGATCTACTAGGGAACTGGGATTCAAAATACTAACTAGATAGTTTGAAATTCCAGCCCTGCACAATTTCAGAAGAGTTTTTCTTGCCACCAAATTCAATGGAGTCGGGATTTCACTCCAAAGCCTCTCTGTTTATCTTATACTATACAAATAATGAAGATGAGCTCATCTGGAGGAATGGAACAGTGAACCACAGGGTTCACTGTTCTTCAGTGAATACTCCTGCCCTGATCCTCCCTTGCATTCCTGGGTGGGGAGAAAATGGGTCCTGCAGGTTGCCCAGCTCTACGTATGTGCACTGTGAGTGAAGTGCACTGAAATCCAGGACTGTCATGTGAATGTTTCTTGGCTGGAATCACCATGGGGTGATTAAGACATTCAAAGGTTAATTCATGAAGCATGTGCACTTGGGCACCACGACTTCAATAAATCTTTTCAGACTGTTATGCAAATAGAGATCTTTTAAAAATGCATTTATTTAATGCAACATCCTCTCCTGAGACAATGTGCGGTGTAACAGCACTGCAAGCCCAAAGTTTGCTAAACACTCTGGTGTATTTTAGTGTGCTAGGTCTCTAGATGTTATAATTGGTCTAATTCTGTTTTAATGAGTATCTCATCACTGTTATATTTTACTTTAGTACTTTACTTTAGTTTATATAGGTAAACTAAAGATGTCATGGGATTTTGGAATCTGGAAGAGTTGGAACTCAACTCCCCAACTCCCATGTTTCCTGGCTCACAGAAAAGAAGCCAATTTCAGAGGCATACTTGTTCCTGCTTTAATCCAGTAACACTGTATGGCACAGTGGTACCCAATCCATAGATGGCTTTACAATCCCATTTGAGGAACAAACCCTGATGCTTTGACACCATTTTCACCAGACAATTACTTGGGCTCAGTGAAAATAGAATCAGGACTTCAGTATTTCAGCTTCCGCACTGCTGAGCCTACTAAAGCTTTTCTGTTGATGTGGAAGGGCACAGCTTCAGCGGCCAAACTTCCCGGCTCAGTGACCACACCAGAACGTGCCTCCTTAGGAGATCTCTCAGTTCCCTGGATTACATTAGTTACTGCACAGGCAGCATTATCTGGACTCTTGGAGAACTATCAAATTACACACTATGTCTTTTAAGGCATATTAAAATCTTAGCAACTTCCTTAAGTCACATTTTTAACTCCATTTCTTACTGAAAATTTTAGGTATCAAACCCTAAAGTAATGGAATTGAGCTGGCTATACTGAATAAATGTTTCCTAGCGCAATAGATGGTTTGAACCACATCTCTGCAAGAGCTCAGCTTGTCATTGGTGGCAAGTATTAGGGAATAGACTTTATCCTCATTCTCCCTTTGTGCACAAAATCCCTTGTTGGAGAAGAAATCCACAATCCAAAGTCTTTTTCTAGTGGAAAAAAAAAAGTCTGTTCTTGTTTTCTTTTGTTTTATGACTCTTAATAAATTTGGCTTCATGTTATCTGCTTGTTCTCTTTGTTAGGCAGTAAGCAGATATGAGAACTTACTAACGTAACAAAGCTGTCTATTGTTTCCATTCATACTGTATCTGCTATTAAGATGATATGATTATTGAATGAGACACGGACTCCATAGTGATTGAGAGAGTGTTAAATCTTCAGAAATGGCAGTGCATGTGGTTAAGATACTGATATGGAATAAATAAAGAAATAGCAAGAGGTGGACAACATATAAATGTATAAGGAAAAGCAACTTAAATAACTTAGCCAGATGGTAAATACATAAATCAGAGGACCTTTGGTTTTAATATTAAAATTCAAGAAGTGACAGTGTTATATTAATAAAAACACTGTATTAATAAAATATGACTTCTAGAGTAAACAGTATACTATATTCACACGGAAACATATTTCTTTTATACAACACATTATTTTGCTGATGCAAGGATATGTTGCAAGAATAAGTTAGTACTCTTAAAACAAAACAAAACAGCAAAATAATGGAGTATATTATGTTAACATACAGTAACTAATTTTAAAAATATTCTCCTGAATTGACATGCACAGTTTTGCAGGTTCAACTGCTCTAATTATCTGACTAACAGTTGCAGTGAGACCTGTAAAAAATGATTAATATTATCAACAAATGTTCCAGCCTACAGTTGCTCAGACCATAAAGCTACAGGTCCAAGATGAGAAACTGTTTCTAGAAGCCAGCCATGCCTATTTAATATAGATGGCTAAATATAACCTCAGCCATCAGGCAGGGAATGTGGGCATTTGCATCAACAAGATGAGGGCTGTCTGATTTAAGACGACTCAGCTTCAGAACTGGATCCTGATACGTTTGATACAAGATGCACACTCTGGAGCTGTACTGCTTGTTTCTTGGCTTCTTCTGATTCAGCCTCATTTGTGCCTGTTAGCTGTGTAAATGGTGTTCACCTGTACTGTCTGCTGGGAAATTCTCAGCACAAACAGACTGGCAACATCCCCCTGGACAACATCCCAACGCTCACACTGTACTGGAGCACCCACCACAGAAAACAGATGCAATTGCACAGGGGCTGCTCCTGTAGAGCTGCCCTAGTACCGAAAGGAGGGCAGAAAAATCACAGTATTTTCTCTGAGTTATCTCCTGGTTTCAGAATAGAGCTAAATGAGACCCTTGTCCATACTGAAATGCTCAGTTCCTACAGGATGCCTGAAATGATTTAGTGATGGGAGATGCAAGCGCCTGTCTCTCCCATCACTATAAACACTTACAACCTTGCTGCCTAGGCAGAGCAAATGCTCAAGAGCAAATCTTTTCACAAAAGCCTTGATGTGAAGCAAAGAGCTTGATAGTGAAGTAGGCAGTCAAATCTGTGCTCTTCCTGTGACTGACACCCAGAATAGTAACAAAAATACTCATTTTCACTACAACGGTGCTTCTGTTAAGGGGAAACATTTTTCACTAGCATTTTGTAGTAGTACAACCTTATAAAGTGATTAGTAAAACCGTACTGTTGAAGTTCTGACATTTGTATTAATGATACATTTATATATAGTTTGCAAAGGGTTAGTGAGCAATTAATAGATGCTAAAGCCAGGACTACAGTGCAGTAGAGACAGCCATAGGTCAGTGAGTAACATCCTAGTCAAGTGCGTGAAACTGGTTGTCATTGCATCGGCTTTAGCATTTGCTCAGAAAGATCTTTCAACACAGACACACACAGAGAGACACACACACACACGTACGTGTCTGCTGGCTGCAAGATAAATCAGCATTCTCCGAGAAGCTAGCATGAGAAAAACCCCATTGCAAACCCTACTTTTCCAAGACCTCTCAACTCACCAGAGAACAGACCTACTCTGTATCCTCCGTATTTGGATGACTGTGCGAAGGACAAGTGTTCCACATTTCTCTGCGTGGATTCATACAAGCACACCAGCTGCTCTAGCTATAGGGCACGGACCCCCTGCAAATTCAGCAGCTCTGCAGAGGCAGATTACATAGCCCTCATGAGCACATTACATCGATGATTCTTCCCCCCATGTTTTCAATACTTAACAGTATCTCTCTCTCTGTTCGTGATTTCTATACCTAACTCCTCATAGCATAAGGTGCAGAGTATTCAGCAATGAAAATAGAAGAAATACATGCTCGCAAACTGCCATCTGGTCAGGTTATGAAGGGCTACATATTTCAGCCTTGATTGCAAGTATGAGCATAGAGAAACCCTTTCAAAAGACTCTGTGTTGTGGAATAATTTCTTGGTTAACAGGAGATGATAAGATTTCCTTCTCATAATCCACTGTAGAGATCCAAAGCAAGACAATGGTAAGCTCAGAGGAATGGACAGCCACAATGATCTGCTTTTTCTAGCCAAAAAGAAGGTCTTTCTTCCAAGCAGAGGAAAGCCATGGGAAAACACACTGCAGTGTTTTCCAACTCCCAAAGAGCTCTGCTGGAGAGGTGGCAATGGAAGGCCATGACTTGGATGGGAATTGGCTGGTCCAAACCATTTAAGAATCAATGGTCAGAAATTCAACTGTGTGGCAGTGTGGATATGTGGGGGGAGAAGGCAGTAGATGCAAGAGTACACCAAACAAAGTCAGTCTCTGATCTGAGTTCTTCTGCAAGTTCACTGTCGATCAGACAAAGAGGAGCAGGTGGTCTGCCCAGGAGGCAAAAGATGAAGATGCCTTAACATTTAGTTCTGAACAGCCCATCAGAAGTGTCACAAGATCCTAGGAATGACACCCCTCTTCGCCCTCACACTCCTGTATGTGACACCCTCTGCGCATTCACTGGTGCCTTCCTTCACTGGCTCACATTGCCTTAAGAGAGCATTTGCAGCTCACACTTGTGTGTGCAAGACACAAGAAGAAAGTACCAGGTAGTGAAAAAAAGCCCTGCGTGCATCTTTTCACCAGAGGGACACAAGCTTCATGTGAAAAGCATCCACCTTCCTGCTGGAGGAAATCTTTTAAATACCCAAGTCTGTAAGACAGATAGTCCACTCAGGGCTTTGCTTGAAAACGTGATGCTCAAAGCACTCTGTGACTGGAACTCCAGAAGGGAATAACCATTACAAGAGAACTAAGAAAAGATGTTTGTCAACTATCAAAGATAACTTGAAAATTAAAGATAATGGCATGCCCAGGGATAAAGCATTTTGACAGGCAAGTACCACAGCCAAGAGCCTATAGATGTCTATGGTTAAGCCACTGAAGTCATTAAAAGCCAAAATGATGTCGGCTTCTGACAAAAGAAAAAAGCAGAAGGAATTGCTTATTGACTGCTTGACTGAGGTGGACACGTACCCAGAGTTAACTGCCTCTGTTTCATAAGAGACAAGTTAATACAAACATATTCATTACTGAAGCAGAGCTCTGAAACTAAAGTTAATGCTAACTTCGAAGTGCAATTCAGCTTGAAGGAGTGGCTGTAAAAATGGCATTCTCCTACTCGAAAGATCTATTTCTTGTATGTTTTCTGGGTCACATCTGCTTATTTGAAACAAGATTTTTTAGGATTTTTAATCCTGTTAGCCTGCAGGCCAAAGACAGCAAATGGAAAGTGAGAGAGGCTCCTGAATGCCAGCCACTTAACCCCACTCAAAACAGAGGGGATGATCAGGTGTCAAGAAAAAGCCTGAGACTTGGCAGGCAGAATCCTTACGGATGCTGAGGATGCACAAGAAAGAAAAGAAAAAACCTGGGTACTCAGACTCCAGGTTGCATATGGGAGGCTGGCTGCCGAACAAAATCTCTTTTCCTTGTAAACGGAACATATTTGGTGTGAAAAGCCCTAAAAGACCACACGTTCTTTTATACAGCAACCTCTGAGAGTACAGTGCCACTTAACTTTGCCTAGAGAATCCCCAAAAAAGCAAGGAAAACAGTCTCTTCAGAGGTCGCCTGGTCCCAATCCCTTGTCTGAGGCACCACCAGACTCGTGCTGTTTGCTAAAGGTCGATCTTTCTCTTTTAATACCTTCATTAGAAGGAAAAGTCAGTCCTTTTCCTTCGTGGGATTTGACTTGGCTTTTAAGAGCAAGCATGACAGGGTTCAGCAATGCTTCAAAACCTGTGAAATAACAACAGTAACTCAAAGCACACGCCACATTCTTCTTATTCACCAGCTCTTGAGTTCAATTTGGGTTTCTCTCAGGCTGCTAGTTTCTTGCTGGTAAATTCCTACTTCTCCAAATTTAATAACTGATTCTGCTTGGATCATCTCGCCCATGTTACACTATAGTTTCTGCACGCCTAATCCTACAGGCAAGGGAGCTGGGACCTGGCAGAGCTGCCCTGGGATACGGGATATGTGCAGCCATCAGCCGTGGGGCTGATACGAGAAGGACAACGCCGCACTACCCTCCACGGGGTGGGTGGAAAAAACGAGTGTTGGGAAGAGTAAGTACAGCAATGACTCACCCAGGTTATAGGGCTGGACTGAACACAGTGAAGCAAGGAGGTTTTGTTCTGAAAAGGAGCTATTTGAATTCATAAGCAGCATTGGAAAAGGCCCTTTGGAACAGGATCCAAAAAGCCATGCCAGCTAAGAAGGTTTTTACGTTTTCATGCTTCCCTGTCCAAAGGCACATGGTTCAAACTGAGCAATGCATTTCAAAAAGCCAATACCATTTCCCTCATTAACTTGAAAACCCTGAAGAGATCAGACCTTCTATTTTTAGCATTAAACTAGAAAAATCTACAGCACTGTCTGCATGTCCAGTTTAATGTTTGCTAATTCATCTCTGTACGAATCTCCATCCATTGCACCCAAATTCCGATTGTATCAAAGGAGGTTTCCTTACTTTACTGGCTCCCATGACTCCCGCTCAAAGCCCCTGTGAATTGACTGTGCAATTGAGGACTCCATCAGATCGACATATCTAACAACAAGTGGAGCAAACAGGTCTTGGAGGTGTTTGTGGAATTTTCCATTGCACAAATTATCTAGAATAGATAAATAAAAGTATAGTAAGACACTACTGTTACTAAAACCTCTGTAACAAACCACAGTGTGGCACTTCATTACACAACGAATTTGTCAGTAAACAGGAAGAAACTTCAAGAACATAACAGGAGCTGGCATCAGGCACCAGTGTTCATGACAAAGACAGAAAGAATGGCTTCTTACTCCAAACAAATGAACAGACAACAAACCTTCTTTTCCATTAATGTCAAACTTACAAATACATTATTACTTCCTGTGAATAAAATGGATGTAAGAAACATGGCATGGCAAACATTCTGGCTTTAGCTGGTAGGAGAACCATTCTTCTTTGGTTACTCACTACCATGATGTTGGAAATTGCTCTCTCAGAATGAGTCCCTGGCTTTTTTGTGTGGTCTTAGAAAGCTGACTGGAGTACTGGTCTGGGACTTAACTGATGGCAATGCCAATTCTGCCACCAGATCCCTGGGGAATGCTCGGACCAGCTGGAGAGTGCCAAATCCTCACAGGTTTTAAAGGCATGGGCACATGTGTTTCGGAGAAGAGCCTTATTTCACAAAGCACTATTCTCCTGAACTATTCCTGCGTCTGTTTACCGTAATACTTTCCTTCCTTCAATAAAATCTTTTAAAGCAGGTACTGTTTCACTCTGTGTTAAATAAATGCAGTACACACATAGAAAACGATACGCACATTTAATGACAGTGAGATAGAGTACCTAATGCCCTGCTTATCAGGCAGCCATTTCCAAGAGACTTGAGAAGATGAAGCAAAATAAAAGTTCAACTTCTCACCTTTGACTGAGGCATTTAAGGGGTGTCTGTGTGCTTTTTTCTAGTGGGAATGGAACAAAATCAAGCTGGTGCTAAAAGAATATGCACAGTAAACTTCTATCCATCTCAGTTCTCTGTGCAGTGTGGAGAGACTGAAAGTACTATCAATAACCTGAGCTGCCCACTGAAAGAGAAATGACCAAAATACAATACAATACATACAGTCACTACGGAGGGAATCGTTTAGGAGCTGAAAGAGCGGAAAGCTGTCCCAGGTGTCTGGGGGTTGCACCTCTAACGCAGCGTCCATATCCACTGCAAACAGTGACAGGAAGGTCTCCGCGTGCTCAACCATTAGGTCTGACCACCAAGCAAAGGCCTTCAGAATTGGTAGAAAAAGATAATAGAGAAGAATATTAGTTTTAATAAAGCACAGGGAAAGATGTTAGGCCACATATCCCATAAAAAAAATATAGTGCATCCCATGGAAACTACCTTTATTGTAAAGAGAACAGTGCTTTAGGTGCTGGCCTGCACAGACAGTGCTAATCACAGCAATTAGGCACTTCTATTTTAATACAAAGGTTTCTTGCAGAAGATCTACTCAGAGCTCCACCGTAAAGGCACGCCGCTGTAATGTGGCAGAGGAGGTTTTGTCTGTTCAATTTACAATAAATGCCTTTTGTTTATCTTTATGTTAATTATCAGGAAAAAATCAAGTCATTCTTATTTGAAAGTAGAGAAATTTGGGAGTTTCTTCACTGTGCTTGTGGGTTTTCTGCTGTGTTTTTCAAATGTTATTTGGATTCACTACATCTGTTTGTCTTGGAAAACCAGAAACCTAAGACATTAAAATCTGCCCTAAATCACTCACACTCTTCTTTAGAGATACTTCCAACATCACCAGTAGAAGTTATTGCAGCACTGTTCATTTTACATGGTTAGCTCTACGCACCCATAGAAACATACTGCCACCTTCATAATGCTACTGATTAGGAAACCAATTACAAAGCTCTATTATCAACATGCCAAGATAAAACAAAAAATATCTACGGCAAGCCTATAATTTCACAGAGGCAGGAAAAAAATAGATCTAAACTTGAAAACCAAAAAATATCAGTGAAGTAACTCATTCTCATGCACATGGGTCCTTCAAATTCACTGTACGGGCTCTCTGACGTGACATTCACATCATACATGGCTCAGATGTGAATGTTGCGAACGCATGCATGCGTGTTTAGTAATCACTTCTGGCTGGGAACATGCAATATGAGAAGTGCTGTTGGTAGGACCATGTGCTGTCATTTCGGAGTGATAGGAAATTACTCAGTGACTTAAAGGATCTAAGAACCAGCTTTCCAGCACTTTGCAAGAAAAAGAGACCTCTAGCATAGGCGCAAGACTGCAGATAAAAGGGAAAAGACTGGGAATAGATGAACCAGGTTGAAGAGGAATTGATAGTCAGGGAGGGGTATTTTAGCAGACAGGAATAAGCAGAATGGACTTCCACTTTCCCAGGGCTCAGCTTTCATTCACTGATGAACTGCACTGATGTGCAGAGCATAACTCCAGCTGCCATGGAGTGGGAACAGTGCACCAAAACCAGGTTACTGCCATGGAATCCTTTAATTCTTCCTATTTTGGCCCGAATTTTCAGCTACCAGTGATATTGGTAGGAGGTTTTTGTGTCTATTTCCACTCCTTCATTCCTCCAAAATATAAAGAAGATGACATTGCCCTGCTATTATTCCATGAGTCGATATAAAACTGGTATGAAGACATGGATTGGTTGGATGTGGCACTGGGCATTATGTGCCCAGAGTGCATCCAAGATGTAAAACAACCAAAATAACCGATTAACCCCCAAATTAATTTAAGTATTGGGCTTGCCCTTCCATGGGGGTGAAGATGTGATGAGGTGGGCTGTGCCATGAAGGCACAGCTTCAGCATGCCCTGGAGCAGGCTGGGCAAACGGCATGCCCAGAGTGGCAACACCAGCAGGTTATGATGTCCCTGTGGTCATGGCATGGGGATAAGGTGGCTACACTGGGCTCCTTCATCTGCAAACTGTCTCCAGCCCCATGCACGCAGAGGAAGCTGATTCTGTGGAAGCAATGGTACTGCTGCAGCAGCTCCTGCCCTGGGGTGCTTGTAAAGCTCAGAAGCAGTGGTGATGGTGGCCCTTGGTGTTTGCAGTCAGGAAGCTTGGAGGGCTGAGCACTTGTGGTGATAATCTTCGGCTCTTCCTCACACGTTTGGTGCTGGTATCCAACAAGATGCACAGATGGATGCCTTGGACTGTGGCATCAGGAGGTGGTAAATGCTGAGAAACCATCCAGGAACCAAAACAGTAAGACATAGGTCTGCTCCTGGTGCCTGCTCAAGCCTTCTCCCCAGAGTGCAGGCGGGAAACGAGTGGATGCCGAGCAATGGGGCTGTGGAGGGTCCTCTTAAATCAGCAGCACTCATCTGTGGTTTTGAAGAAGGATGCTGGGGCTGTCCTTGCTCTGAGATGTTTTCTCTGGCTGTGCCTCTGCCTGCCAAGAGCCCACCACGCTGCTACCCCATCAGAGACTGCCCACAGGTCTATGGGCAAAGAATGGTCTCTATGAAGGACCAGTGGCATCTTCTGCAACAAATCTCAACATAAAACTTCAGAGTCCTGCAATAAAAACCTGCTTCCATGAAAAAGGGAAAAGAAAGCTATTTTTAAAAGAAATTGTGAAGAAAAACATGTGATCATTTACTGAGAAAAAAATATGCCCAAACCAGTCACAGTTTCCCTTTTGCTGGAAAAGTCAAATTTTAGCTCCATAAGTCCCTAACTTATGTCAGGATCCTCAGCCTCCTCCTCTCTATTCTCGGTGAGCAGAACCTTCCTGCTCAGGTAACACCATACTCAAAAAACCTCCTTCAAGATGGTAACATTTCATTTATTTACCATCTACTTACCTGCTTTGCTTAAAAACACAGTGTGAAGGGGGGAAAAAGTGTGCTTTCTAGCCAAGCACACCTATTATTGTATATTTTACACATGGATACACATGTATATATGTATGACCTCAAGGAGTTAAAATACATATATACATATACACATACGTATACATAGAGAGAGAAAACACAAGTTTAAAAATAGGTGAATGGCATTGTCTCTGGCATTTGTCATCAGTCATCCAGAGGAAGAGAAAGGGAGTTAGGAGACATCTGATGGGAGAGATGACACAATGACAGAGACCTCCCGCTCTCACAGATTACAGACATAGGCACATGGTTTCTGCTACATTTCTGCCTGCACTGGTTTGCTTCCTCCTAATGGGTAAGACAAACTTAACTCACTAGACATGGTACTTCGTAATGGTTTTGGAATGTTTTCTATGCTCTGAGTATTTTTTCTGGGTTCTCATTCGTGAGTCTGCCTGGATGGCCATGTGGGTAAGAAAACGGCACGTTTTAACTGCAGAAACTACTGGATTTCAGTAAATGAAGGCATTTCTTCAGTAAGCAGTGCAATTTCGTTTTCTGCTGACCACTCAGAGTAGACCATAGAGTTGCACCTTGAAGGTTGAACCTTCTACAGGTGAATGGACAAAAAAAGATCACCTGAAATAATTTGGAGAAACCCCAAAAGTGCAATACCTCAGCAGCTCTCATCGCACAGTGAGAGCACGATGTGGCTACAATGCGTAATAAAAATGAGTGATAAACTGACCAGCCTCTTCTCTCTCTTCCTCTGGGAGCAATTCAAAGTGTAGAGAGCTGGCCAACTGCCTATACCCTGCTGAAATGCCAGAGCCACCCTCAGGACAGGGATTCGATAACGTACCGACAGCGTGCCGGGCTTCTGGAGAGAGATGAATTTCACTCTTCCAGGTCACTGTTCAGAACAAGGGACCGGGATGCTTCCTATCCGTGTTGGCATTAACCTTCTGTCTCTAATCAAAACCCTGTGACACAAAAGATGCTGGAGAACAGTTTTGAGTCTTCCTCCTGGTGAGGATCTCGGTGACATGACTGGCTGAATGCGACCGGCCCTGTACCCACTTCCTTCACAAGTCTGCGATTTCCAAAATAACCTGTGAGTTAAAAGCAGCTCCTTCCCGGCTGGTTGTACATCCAGCCTGTGCTGGTGAGGAGTGGAATAAATCGCTTGTTATCCTTGCATAGGTTGTCATATTTCGGGTGCAAGCGCAGTGCTCTTGAGCATCCCCTCGCTTTATTTCACTCTTCACCCCGTATATTCTCTCTCTACATATAAATACTGTATATCCAGTACAAGGCACATACAGACAAAACCAGAGGAAGACCACTACCATTCTAGGCACTCGTGTAGTACTTAGTCCACCTCCACCACAGTGTACTAGAGGTCAGGTGAATGCAGAACGACAGAGGTAACAACAGGCTGAGGAGAGAGTCCAGGCAGGTAGGGTTGTGTTGGGATGTAACTGCAGCGCTTGTAAAATATACCCATTGCTACATGCATGGACTGCTATGCCACATTTACCCTCCTGTGTCAGGCTACCAGCTTTGCAAGCAGCCGACTCGAAGTTGCTGTTACATTCCTCGGTCAAAGTTACGGAAGCGAGGGCAACCCGGGTAAAATCCCAGTAGGAAAACATGGCACTGAGAGGGCATGCACGAAATATGACAGGAGTGACTCGTTTCATTCGGTTTAGTCACATACCTCTTTCCCCTGCCAGGATCATCCAAGATTGAATGAACAGTAGAAAAACAGGGAGGAAATTTAAATATGCAATCAGGCATTAGTTGGGTGTTGTGGATTGTTGTGTATTATCAATAAGTTAAATTATACTGCAAATTTAATATACACTGGAATGATTTTTAGGTGATTGCGAAATTATTTATCAAATGCTCCTAATGCAAAATATAGTGAATATATATATATATCTCAATGGGAAGGAAAAGAGAAAATAGCGAATGAGTGTTACATTACCTACAGTCATAAACAATAACTGTTCACTCTGAACGTTAAAACTCTCAACTTTTCAATATGCATCCAAGAGCACCAGATTTACAGAGAACTCAGGGCTCAATCCTGCAAATACTTACATGGGTACACAACGTCACTTGCTCGGGCAGAAATATCCCGACGTGATGAGAGCGGGACCACAGCCAGCAATGTCAGCTGCCTGTGGGGTCAAGTGTTTCCAGGATCAAGCCTCACGATTTTCTGGTCTATATTTGACTATGACATGGTTTCAGTGGCTTTAAAACACGAATCTTTCTGTTAAAGTGCTTTGAAGAGTAAAGAGTGGTTGCATAAGGCCTTAGATAACCCAAATAATGAGTAACAGAATAATTCATCCTAACCTCCATGACTAGTAACTGAGGTATTCCCAATAAGCCAAGGCAGAAGAGGCCAACAGGAAACCAGGTGAGTTAATCACATACCGCAGGGGCCCAGGGGAACCCCTGGAAACAACCTGAATGCTCAGAAAGGGACAAAAAAAAAGGAACCGTTTTGGTTTGTGGTGGTTTTCCTTGCTCCAGCTCTGGACAGCAGGAGCCGTAACGTGCTGCAGGGACCCCACTAATGCTGCCTGGAAGCACAGACACAGGGCATTACTTGGAAATATGACCTTTTTGAAAAGTGGACAGGCCTCCTCTTGTATGTAGTTGGTGGTGAGTATATTTGGCCAGATTCGTCTCCTGCTGGCGCTGTATGAAAGGCTGCAGACTGACGCAGAGGAGAGCAGAACTGAATTGGTTCCTCCTTCAGCCCTCCCTCCCCTCTGCAAAAGCCATCTTCCTGAACTGTCACTTTGCCTTCATTGCACTCGAGCACCATTACTTAAGAACACTTTTGGCTTTCCAAGAGGATAAACCAGCACCAGTTGGGAAGACATCACACAGATATGCAAAGCTCCCCACGAGCCACCGGAGCCCGCTGCAGACCTGAGGGGGACACGAGCTCACAGGGCACCGCTGCTCACCTCTGCATGGTGTTCTTCGTTTTGCTGTAGGACTTCAATTACCAACTCTGCCAGACGTATTGTATCTTCTAACTTTTTAGCTGGTGTGACTAACCGGCCTACATTCTCTGTAGTACAAGAACTCAAGTTAAAAGGGAGGTAGAATGAAAAGCTAGACATACAGTAAAGTTATTTTAGAGGTTTAAAAAGAAAAAGAATAAATATAATCCCATAATATTCTACAGCTTTAAAGATCTTTTCATGCATATGTTAAATGCTTATATAATTAGTACTGAGCAAACCAGAAAGCCACGTTCATTATTATACTATGAAAATGCAGTGCTCCAGCTCTAAATTTCACAATACTGTCGGAGTTTGCTTTATGGTGAGATGCTGGCTCTTTTTGAGCTCAAATAAGAACATCACATTCCCTAAAGACAGCATCTGGCCACTAATACATGAACAATATGTATCCTTCAATGTAGATGATGCTATTACAGAAATCATGTCTATATGATTTTAAAGTTCTTTTCAGAAGATCAATTCAAACAAATCTGTACTTTTAATAAATTGCCAGACTCGAGAAATTTAAATGTCACCTGCTACTGAAAGCAAAGACTGCAGGTCTGCCTTGCTCCAGGATTTAACTCCACAAGGGTCAAGGAGTTACGCATGCTGGAAGGAGTGGAAAGTGCTAAATCCCACTAGGAGTTCATACGTAAGATTTATATGGGAAAAAAGATGCAACTTTACAGCAAAAACCCCGCAAACAAACCAAAGAGTTTAAATCCTGGAGCTTGGTTTTTAGGTATAGTTGAACTATTTTGCAGCATTTTCTGAAGACTTTAAACAATAATATAATTACAATCCTTCAGGTAATTTGTGTTATTAACAGCACATTAAACATCTGAGATGCTAAAAATCTGACTTGAAATAATATAGAGAAAAAGAAAATGATCACATTTTCATTGAACGACAGCTTCTGCAGAGCTGGCTGAGTGCAAGTGAGGAGGTTTCTGTGAGCTCACCATGGCTCACTTCCCTGAGGTGTCCAAAATCTCCCTGTGATGATCGCTCTGAGAAGCGGAGCACAGGACCTGCTCCCTGGCTGCACCTACGCTGCCTGTCACAAAGTTAGCTACAGATCTGTCCCTCTGATTAATAACCGGGTGCCAATCCATCTCTGGTGCAACGAGGGTGAAGAACAGCATCGCACTTTGGTAGCTACACCAGCCAATTCATACCTCTGCACTGATGTATATTTTGGCATCTCCACAATATTGAAGGAGAATTCATAAATGGTTCAAGTACCAAAAATCAAATAGCACAAATCAATCTGAAATTGGTTGACTGCATGTCCACAACACAGCAAAATGTAGCAGTGCAGGCACTGAAGCGCTGTTACCAGCAACCACCCTGGGATTTCCAAAGGAGCCCAGCTAAGCCAGCAGCATGGGCCGTGCCAACACACAGGGTGCTGGCATCTCAACTCCAGCCTTCTGCACACACTAGTGTTTTGCTAGTGTTTAGGTCTTCCTTGCTGATGGGACAGAAACTTGTGGTTGCACATGGGTGGCACAGCTCTGCTCTGCTGGGTCCCCCAGGCAAAAATCCCTGCCTTGCTGAAGGCTTAGTGAGCTTTGAGGACTGAAATTTTCCCCTCAGAATCTTGCCTGCTCCTAGTTTTCCCTGACTACCTGTCCAGGTAACAAATTTCCCATGAAAATGAAAGCCATATTCTTCAGGATGGTCACATCTGGGTGGTTGGGCAAGGGGTACATGATCTGGTTTTCCAAGGAGCTCAGCAGCCTGGTCAGCTCTGTCATTGCAGGTGCTCAGCTTGGCTGAGAGGTGCAGCACGGTAAAGCACCATGCAAATGAACTCTGTTTTTGCTGACTTATGCCATAGACATGGGCCTTGAGGGTTTTTTCTCCATTTTTCCTTTTGTTTCTTGTATCACTGAAAGCAAACAAAAAAAAAAAAATCCAGGTTCCCCTTACTATAATTTATTGGGCAAATACTGAAATTGGAGAACTGCTGGTTAACTCCTCACTCTTCCTCCTATCCAATCCAGCACCTCACTGGCTACAAGAAGCAGAAACCTCTTCCTTTTGCAGGAGCCCAAAGACACGTTCCTTAGTAAGCTCTGGTTGTTTCTGCACCTCTGAAGCCAAGGGGAAGCTTTTCCATTGATCAGAGCAGCATCAGGCCCATTCTCATTTGCAACACTGATCTGCTCTCAAATACAACTAAAAGACAAAAGTGTTAATAAGAACAACTGCTCAGAGATGCTGTCTTTAAAGAAAATATTGATGCTTATACAACTTTGGCAGCCAGCAGATGTCAATCTTAATTTTTTTTCTTCTTATTTTAAATATTTCCCTGGTTAAGTTACTATACATCAGAATATTCTGCTAAGATAGCTGGAGCACTGACAGTTACATGAAACGTATACGATATACTTATCAAACATTTCATCCAACATCATGTAAAGCTCATACATATTTATAGTTTTCATGCAAAATGTTATGCAACAACAATGTTATTTTGTGCTGACGTTGATATTTGAAAATGTTGCATATGTCAGACATTGCTAGACAAAAAAATGTGGACATTTTGAAATAAATGCTACCTCTATAAATCTCTGAAACCTACCACATCGCGCTAGGTATTTGGTATAAAGCTGCACATGGGAACTAGCTTTCTACTGCTACACAAGCGACTGCTAGACTAGGAAACCACTGAATAAAAGGAAGGAAGACTATTACAGTACTTGGCGGCTGTTTGGCCATGCCTTTGAGCATATGATTTATCATGTTAGTCTGCGTTTGAGGAGATGATGGTGGCCCAGCCGGTGGCTTAGGCTTGGACGGACGGGCTGCTTGGGCATGACGGAGAGAGACACCGAAAGTAAAGAGACAAATGACTTCATAAACAGTGACAAAAAGATGGAAACTTTGAAAGTTCAAGTACAAATGGCATAAGCTGCTGGGTTTTTGCTTATCGGTACTTGAAATATTACACGGTAATGACACCATTTGACAACACATATTCTAGAAGTCAGCAGATTTGAACATCCTACAATACTGTGCAATCAGAAAGCTAAAAATTCAATGCAAGTATAAAATCGCACTTCACACAGCCATGGGAGGAAACTGAAATAGGTTAATTCCCTCAAAACTCTGAAATCCAGAGAAGGTGTACTAAAAACGATGACTTGAAGTCAGCGCCCCAATGCTTAGGTACATTTAGCAATAGAATAATGAGCCACAGGAATTAATTGCTTTGCAAATATCAATTACACATTTTAGAATTAAACGTCACTGTTGGTTAAAGGCAGCTATAAAATATTCTTGTGCAATTTAAACATGTAAAAAAATCTGTCACTTAAAAATGTGTGGTTCCTGATCGTTTCCAGCTCATTTAATTATTTTCAACTTGGAATTCTAGTGGCTTTTATATTCTGGGTTGAATCATATATAAAAACTTGCCAGCTCTATCAAATATGTTACTTGCTATTCCAAATGTTAGAATACTGCAATCAGGACTTGACCCATCTGTCATATAGTTTACAATATCAGCATAGGAAAAATTCAAAGAAAATAGCCTTTCCTTTTACATACACTCAGAGAATAAATTATAGGCTGTGAATATATTAACACAATAGTTTCTATTCCATTTAATAACAGTTTTTAGCAGCATTGTGACTATTTTTAATCATGCCATTTGCAAGGAATCTGGCATATTTATCTGGACATTCTATTGCCAAAAGCCCTTGCCATTTTGCTTGCATTTTCCAGTGGGTAAAAAAGAAATCGGTTGGCTTCCGCAAAGTAGATTTCTGATTGCTTTTAATTCTCACAGAATTATAACACTTATCAAAGTATAATAAAGAATATTCGAGTAAAGCGTTAGTTAAAGAGTATGAGTTAGGTTGATTCCTCTCTCCATACACAGAGATAGATACACACACATACATAAACACACATACAACGCACACGTGCACGCACACACACACACTTTTTTTTTGTCTTTTAAACTGTGTGATGAGTTAATTCAGACTCTAGATTCAAGCTACCGGTTTCTGGCTTTTTTGTTGGTGGTGTTGTTGATTTCTAGTAAGAGGAAAAGCAAATCTATTTGTTCATCCCTGGAGTCATCCTGATTCTTGTTCAGTGTTTACCAAGGGCGGCTTTGTCCCCAGAAACAAACCTCTCAGCCTCAAGTGACAAAAATAATTGCTTTTTGGGCATCAGCCTAATGACTTTCACTCTAATTTAAAACATAAGCAAGAGTTTAATTTTACTACTCACTTGTGGCTCCTGAGCTCAAAATGTAGATGAAGGGAGAATATTTTCCTGCCCATCACTATGGAGAGCAGTTTGTGTCAAGGTCCCAGGATGGGAAGGGACCACTGGGAGAGGGGATCACGCATCTCCTCCCACCCACATCTGACTGCATGGTGGGAACCCCTGGCCATCCAGGGGAGTCCATGGGCTCCAGAGTTGAAAGTGTCAAAGGAAGCAGCAAAGCCAGGGTAAAATCACACCCCAGAACTACATTCCACTGCACCTCTCAGTGCTGAGACCCTTAAATGTGAAGTCCAGCTCCTGCATCCTCAACCCATCAAAAAATAGGCCTGAGACTTCACAGACATCCAGCCCCATAGTGCAGAATGAGCTGGATGTGTGCAAGTGTTTTTTGACCTAGGGAAAAGTCATTAACAGAGAAGGAAGAGGAGGAAAATGGAAGAGATGCAGCAGCACCAGGACTTCACGAATCGCTAGTGCAGCATGTACAGAACAGCTTGGAGGAGGCTCCCGCTGTGCAGTTGTCAGCGCAGTGCCCTGGGGTGGCTTTTCACTTCTCTGGGAGGCCTGCGAGAGATCCCCCTCCAGCGCCTTATCCTTGCTCCTGGCATCTCCCCACTGCCACCAGCGCTTGAAAACAAGCTTCCACAAGGGATTGCAGCCGGTTAAGCAACAAACTCTTGATGTAAATCTGATCTGGCCCAATTTGCACACACATTCAGCTCTTTTTTCATTTAAGTGTTTCAGACCCAAATCCAGGGCTCTTGCACGATGGCTGCAAAACCACCTGGAGCTGAAGGAGAGAGGAGGAAAACGTCTCTCCCTTCCTGGGGATACTGAAGGCCTTGTAAGCCCCAACCCATGTTTTCTTTGTTGTCTCTTTATTGCAAGAAATAAGGTCTAAGGAAAGTGATTAATTTCCTCTGTAAATTCAAATAGAAATGGGGCTGTGACTGCAACACCCCATAGGCACTGGAGTTGATGTGTCTCTGGGTCCAGGTCTTGGGGATGATACACGAGGTCCCTCTCATGCGGTGTCTGGGCTCATACTAAAAGGAGATGTATAAGGCTGGGTGGGTATTACAGTACTTGCCAGCGATCAGCTGCAGCGTGTGGCAGGTTTTGTTTCACTTTGGCTTTTCTTTCTTCCCTGTTCTTTTCCTCTCTAATGCCTCACCATAGCCAGTTTAACAACAGAAATGCTCTTGCGTTTGTTGCTTACATGTGTCATATAAATACGATTTAAACACCTCCATCATTGAGAGCAGAGACAGGAGCAGCATCTTGCTTACTAACAACATGACAAAGTGCCTTCCTGGACAAACTTCTGCCAAAGGTTTTTAAGATTCTGCATGACACTTGCACATAAAATACACGGAGAAACTTGAATTACTTGGCAAATTCTGGGGTTGTGCTTACAATAAGCTTTAGCCTGCAATGAATACAGTAGGTATATTAAAATCTGTGCTACTTTGGGTATTTATATTGCATACAGTTTATTGTGTGTGACTATTTATGGCTTGGAAGATCTTCAAACTATGTATTTCTCACTCAGCACCATGATTTCTGCTAGATGGGCTACTAATGCATCAGCATCAGTGAGAATTACTTGCAATAGAAGAGTATTACTGACTTTTCGTGCTTTTTAAAGTGTAACCACTGACTCAATGATTTCTTTATAATAATTAAAAAAATATGACCCCTGCCAAAGGCTTTGCTACGTAAGTGTTACGTGTGTGTTCATTTGTGAGCCAAATGTGAAAACAACAAAAAGAGCTGCTGTTCTCAAGATAACTATAAAGAGTAATGGACTTAACCCGAGGATGACGCAAAGCAGCTTTTTATTATATTAGTGAAATGAGTTTGTGTGTATCTGAAAGGGTTTGCAGTGATATTATTTCTTTCAAATTGAGATGCGTTGTCTTGAAAGTAAGGAAAATTAATAGAATTCTTTTTCTTCAACTCACAAAAAGACTAATGCAGCTCTCAAAACTCAACATACCAAAAAGAGAACTGATCTCCTGACTTTCTGTTGATTATTCAGCCTAGTGAAGAATTTTTGCATATCTGAATTGTGCCTCATGCCTCAGGCAGCAAGTTGCTCTGCAGTTG